GAATTTAGATGATTTTGTTCTTCATTAGAGAATATTGATGCTTCTAAGTGCTGGTAGCCCAGACTGGAAAAGTGACTGCAGACATTAATCTCCATAGGAATTATGCACCACAGGTCATAAGGGCATTAAATGTCCAACATTTGAAGGTCTGGACAGGGCATTCCTGACAGTGAACTTTTGTGAATTCTTGAATTTCTTACCTTTATCATTATAGTAAGCCAATTTTTGGTAAGCAATAGACAGACTACTGGAATCAGAGCAACCTACTATGTGCACCCCAGGTAACCCCTTAACCCCTTGAGTATAACCCACTGCAATGCAAATTCAACATTCAGGGTTGGTTTTAACATTTGATTAAAAAATAAATGTTTTTATTAAACTGTAACATACCCATAGAATTCTGAAAAGTCAATGGCAAGATTGGGATGTTTTCTGATCAGTAGGCCACATACCAAGAGTTTTTGGTTCATTTACCAAAAACAGGTTTTTTGTTGTTTGTTTTTTTGCCCACGATGTCCAGAAACCTCAATATGTCAGAGTCTCAAAACTGAACATGCTCAGGGAGTCAGACCCATGCTCACTAAACTCACAAGGAACACATGTATAACTAAAATAACTCCCCGTGGACAGTAACAGCCAGAACTGTCACAACGACCACCAGGCTCCTGTGCTTGTAACCAGCACATTCTTTCCCTGTAGGTAGAACAAGTAGGAAGCCAAATCATGAGCAGAGAGTAAGCAGAGAATGAAAACAAGAAGAGATATGTATTCTCAAGGAGTATTTTATCCAGGACACGGGAGGCCCGATGAAGCTGCCACTATTTTTTAAAAATCACGAAATAACTATCTGGTTGTGTGTATGTGTGTATAATGGCCACATACATTTTCTTCCAGGTTCAAACTGTCTCTCAGAGAGTCTTGTTTACAAACCTCCATCTCTCTGGCACTCTTGTTTTCTCTGATACAAAGCCTCTTCCCTAAGTTCACACTTTCTTCCACTACAGTAAGATTTTAAAAAGAAGCAAAAGTCAATAGTATAATGAAAGTACTTACTAACGATATGGCCAATTATAAATTACTCCCCCATTCAAACATCTCTTTTAAACACCACTGCCACCAACCCCATGGTGGCAAACATTTACAATACAATGCAATACATTCAATTCTATTATAAAGTGAAATTGCAAATCTTGCAAAAGGTGTAAGGTCAATGAAAGTGAAGTTGGTAAAACTAGCAAACAAAGACCTACAGAGTTAAACAAACGAATGAAGGCAAAAATCAACTGGAATGATGACTATATTGATGCTTCAGAAAAGAACAGTTTGAATATCAAAGAATTAATTGAGACCCTGGGGAAAACTGAAGTAGCCCTCAAACATTTTTACAGAAATGACCCTCGTTTTGATTATTCTCTAAAGGTCAAATATGAAATAAAGTGTGTTGTAAGGTGCTTCACTGTGTAGAAGAAAATTAAGCCAACAGTAATCATCTTGATTTATCATTTATTCATTCTATAATTAGCACATAGTTGTACTTATAAATTTTGTTCAATATAGGATAGAATAAATATATTTTAATACTAGAGTTTTATTTTCAAAAAAAGTTCCCAGAAAATCTTTTTTCACTAACTTCTGAAATTTAGTCCCTGTTTTAAGTAGACTTACTTTAAGGAGGCTTTCCCACTCTAATCACACTGGGATAATAAGGACTTCCTACTAATGAAGCAAAACTTTTCCTATAGTAACAGCCTGATCCCTTCATTGTTTCTACTTACATATTAAATTTTTACTATTTTGTTCATAAAATATCATCATTTCTGAGTTCTTGGTGGAGGGTGACTTACTGTTGACTGTTAGGTGTTTCCTATAGGATCACTTCCAAAGGGTGATATCATGAGAAGTATTATCAGTGTCTTCCAAGGCAGCATATGTAGATGACACAACCTTTGGAGTCAACTTGGAGTCAGAATCTGCTTCTGCCACTTAAGAGACATATGACAATAGGCAAATTGTGTGCCTACTCTGAACTTTGGTATCTTCATCTGGGAAAATGGAGCAATGATAGCTCCCTCACAAGTCTGTGGGGAAGATCAGATGTGAACATGCATAAAATGTCAGGCACAGAGAAGGCATTCAATATATGGTGGCTATAGCAGTGCTATTTATTTTTGGTTTGTTTGAGTGCCAAAGTTCCCTTGTGATCTTAATTTGTTGATTATTTTGTACATTTGGAGTCTTTGCATGCGCTTTGCAATGTGAACCAAGGGTCTCTAGGCTATTAAAAGTAGCTAAATATGACTAATATTGAAAATGTGCCTTTAGGAGTGCCTTGTTGCATAAATCTCTTAAAATGAATTCTAATCTATAAAGCACTGAAAAAAGTCATAATGAGGCTTTTAAGATTTACACTGTAAAATTTCGGTTGAGTTCTTCTGTATGTTCGATGGCTGATACATATGTGGGATAAACCTCAGTGGTGGAAGCCTCCCTTTTCCACACCCAATTTTTATAAACAAATCTTGATTTAAAACCAAGGGACTCAGTCTTTCACCATGCAGAGAGACTTGTGCAGAGCGGTCTTGGAAGTCAGATTCTCCTGGATTTGAAACCCTGTTTGGCTGCCTCTTGGTTGTGTGACTTTGACCAACTTAATATTTCTAAGCCTGGTATCTTCATCCATAAAGCTGGGGATAATAAAAATACCTACCTTGCGGCTGTCATGAAGATGAAATGAGACATTGCATATAAAGCATTTATGTGCCCATACAACTTGGCATATTGTACTTAATAGGTGATAACTATTATTTGTAGAATCTTCAAACTTATAAGTTAACAGGTATGTCATATTTGTTCAGAATGGTAACAGTGTAACACAAAAACAAAAAATAAGTTCACTTGAGTCTCAAACATCAAATAATATTCTTTGGTCTTGCCTTGCCTTTTTTTGCCTCTTGAGTTTCCTATGTTTAAGTTCCTTTCCTTCCCCTATTACTCTTGAACATGTCTTCTGCCCGGGTACTTCTCCATGGCCTCCTCCCCATCCTCACACACAATTGGAATAGTATTTTGAGGGGGATAGAGGGAGACCTTATTCTAAATTGGCAAAGGACTTCTACCTCCCTCTTTCTCCAAGACTCTGGTATATCCCCCCATGGGTCTGATTAGTTTACGTATTATTTAGTTCACTTAGCTAAAGCCAGGAAATAATGATGGCAAACACTTAGTATTCACCTAACAGCACCAGAAGCTAGGCTAGGTGAATTACAGACATTATTTTATAACACTTTGACTGTTCATAACAACCAGGCAAGGCAGATACCACTATTCTTGTTTCTGAGATGGGTAGCTAGAGGGTCTGAGCCAGTAATTTGCTCAAAGTCACACAGCTAAGTAAGTGGCAGTATCAATGGCCATACGGATCAAGTTAATGCACTAATTGGGATGTGATGACTTTAAGTGGTTTTCTACTTCTGGGAAAGGCCCATGTAGCTGTCTCATACTGGCAGTTATATGTGTGCTATCATATCATCTGTTTGTGTAGGATTTTTAACCTTTTTTTTTCCATTTATCCCCTAGCACCAAGACCCTTGTGCATTCCATGCACAGACTACATGCACTTACAGTAAATGCACTGCTTATACACATACACTGGATGCTATAGATCTGACCAACAGGCTCCAGACATCAAAAAGTAAAGAAACCAGACTTTTCTCAACTCCATAATTCCTTTTTAATTTCCCCAGAATTTGACTTTCAAATTATGTTTGTTAAAGTAGGCTCTTTCAAATATTGTAATACGGAGTCCCACATAGTCAGAATGAGACAACTGAGAAGGGCGATTATGGTGGATGTGTTTCTTCCACTGGGGGCTGAATTAAGTTTCTCATCTCTGAGTAAGTACCAAATTCTGCAATCGTTCCAAAAGTGGAAGTTCAGCTCACTGTGCATTTTGGGGAAGCTTGAACCACACTAACCATTTAAGGTCAAGCAAACAACTGGTCAGTCCTAACAATGTGCGTCGTGCAGGCGTTTCTTCTGATAACAGAATCTGTAACTGTATGTCTCTGTAAGTCAGCGCCCGATCGCAATCCGGTTCCTCCTCTCACCACCACAGCTTGGCAGGCACACCCTCCAAGCCACATGGGGAGCCTCACGTTTAAGCCTCCAAGTAAGTTCCCGGCTCCCGCCTGCACCCTGTCTACCCGGATTCCCCCCTATTGTCTTTAACACACACTCCAGCAAAATGTCCCCTTTCAATCAACTCTAACTGGGAGTCTGACCCCCGCCCGGCCCCCCGTCCGGGGTCAGCAGACAGAGGCGGGGGTGGGCACTGGCGGGCAGGGGGCGGGGACTGCGCGGCGCGCGGGGCGGG